AAAATCACCCAGGAACTTACATGGAGCCTGTTTATTTGCGTTTACGTTCAAAATTTTGTCCAGTCTGGTATGGATCGACCATCTATTACCTATCAATACCTCTTAACATGGAGCGCAAAATTATCCAGTGAATCTCTGATGTGTTTTCCATTTTTTCAGCACAATTTTGTCTATATTGTCGGCACCTTCTTGTATCAAACAACCTCCTTGGTATTCTGAAACAATGCCGTCTGGAACATTTATACCGTCTTGAATACAGTCAACCTCGTGAATGGCAATGCTTGCCAGGTATCGTCTAACCTCTGCATTGGAAACATAACAGCCATGTGAATACAAATTTTCTTTCAATGTCCGTGAGCTGTATCCATATTATAACTACACGGCCAGTCCCAAATGAAATGGGGTGAATGTAGATTTTGCTACAGAAACGATGGATTCAGCCATAAATTTACGAATTTTATCTTTAGGTACAACATACGGTTCAGAGCTTAACACTATATTTGACATCCCTTGTTCCTGCTGTGTCTGAATTGTGATTGCGTTGCCATAATAACTAATTGGTTTGTTCTGAAATTTTGCAGATCGGTAAGTATCGGTGACATTCTTGCAAAAAGTGATCGGTATATGTCGAGGATGTGTGACATAAGAAAAGCCTTTTATGGAAGAACAGATTATCATTTACAATAGTTATTATAATAACTTAAAAGCAAGTCCATGCTCTAATTCGTCGGTATCTGTATTGTCTGATTGCACATGTGTTGACTTCAATAAATACTTGGTAATGCTTGCTAAATGGTAAACCGCATTTGAAAAAAAATGTGTTCTCGCGATTATCTTTACCATAGATAAATCATTACTCCCAATAACATCTCAAAGACTGTCATTAAGTTCACCCGACTCGATTTTGTGCCGTTTTCTGTCCTCTTCGAAGGTTTTGTTTTAACACAAAAAAAACATGCTTTAATATACAAACTTCCAGAAGGAAACTGAGCGCAAGTTTGTATAAATGTATCAGGTTGTGGAGATACATGTGTTTTTGATTGGTCACACTTTTGGCTCTCTGTTTCTAATTTAAGGAGACTACAATTTTGCCTGCTGGTGTATGTCTTGAAACATGACCGATGATATATAACTATTTCATTCAAGGAATGCAGATAATCAAGAGAAGTTAGTTGTTGTATCACTCTGTCGTACAAAAACTCTCCGCGAATATCCATAGCGTCAACAATACTTTTTTCCCCTCGCATGCATATTAATTGCTCTAATGATGAACATTGACACACAATGCATTTATCCCACACTATCTCATTCTTTCTTCTTTTGTGACTAGAAGGAGTAAACGTTTCAGGACTACCATAACACGCCATTATCCGGAAAAAAAATCTTGTCCAAGGATTCGGTTAACTTTTAGAAGAAGTCAAAATTTAATGTACAAAATCACATCGAAACTATCAAATTCATTGTTGAGCAAAACGACCTAATAATTGAACTTGATAAATCATTACTATAAATAATGAAGCTGATTGTAGGATATGAAATTTCCATAATTAAAAAAGGTACTAGTGATGTTTTTATTTTTAAGATTTTAACAAAACTATTTGGAGTTTGCCCGTTGAAAATGGCATGCAGTATCACAATAATATAATCTTTCCTCTTAAATGTAAAATACTGTTTTTGAATCATATGGTTTCTCGTTTTCAAAGAAAAATGCGTTAAAAATCCATCTAAAAAACTGCGAACTTTAAGTTTTAAAGTCTTATTCGGGAATGGTATTTTATTTATGTCTTCATCATTCCGATAATCCTTGATTATATGTGCATCGAAAATATTTTTATTAGAGATGAACCAAGAATGAATAAATGTTGTTTAACCATATCCTTAAATTTATATACATCATTTTGATACTTGGGTATGCCATGCTTGTTTTGGGACTTTGTGGTATTTAGATATCACGTGGTAATTTTATGCCAGATGCTGTCAAGATGGCATCATGTCGAAAATTAATAGTCAGATTTAAAAATCTAATTTTATGACTTATCCAGGAAAATTAAACGATAATATTATTGAATGTATGCATATTTCTATGGAATAAACATAATATATTTTTTTCATTTTTGAGTGAAGTTTCCCTTTAAACACAATTCAACACGTTCACTGTTCAATAAGTGAAATAAACATCCTTAACATTGCTGACAAATCTTGTTTGACACAAGGGAACAGAGCACAAAGTTTGAAAGCTTTTACTGTGACTTGACTATAGGTGTTGCTGTTTACCTTTACCTATTGTTCAACCAGATTGTAAAATTGACAATACAATTGGGACATTCAAATTGACCAGCTGCCAGATTTAAATCTCACTGAACCAGCAAGAATCTATTTGATGGATTTACCTACGAAAGGTCCATGAAGTGACTTCACCCGTTCAGTGGTTAAATGTTGTCCAAACTTAAAACTGACTATTGTTGAGTTATAGATGAAAACAGCAAATTTTCAGGAAAATATCATTGGATATTTTAAAAAAAAGACTCAATTATTCCAATAACAATAATAATGATAACAATAATAATGTAAATATAAAAAAGAAGGTGTGGTATGATTGCCAATGAGACAACTCTGCACAAGAGACCAAATGACACAGAAATTAACAACTATAGGTCACCGTACGGCCCTCAACAATGAGCAAAGCTCATACCGCACAGTCAGCGGTTAAAACTGTTATTAGGAAATGAAATTTAATAGTACATGATCAATTAACAAATTTTGTATCCTGACCCATTTGCAATTATAAAACAGTGCTGATTTCAGTAAATAACATAACATGCCTACAGTTTAAATTAGTATATATGGTATGAAAAAAAGCTTGAGTATGGCCACAATATGCAAACGATTATATGTTCTAATTTTTGCTATAAATTGCTGTTTTTTTTTTTTAATTTCATTTCCCAATGTTTTTCTTTAGAGAATCCTAAAATAAGCAAAGGAAATAAACATTGAAATTACAGTTTTTTTTTCATTGAAATGAATGTATTCGTAAAAGGCCATACAATTGCCAAAGAAACATAACATTTAGAAGGAAAAGGAGAGATTTTTACTTTACTGTCATTTCAAATTTTAGGAGTGAGCAAGCCAGAACAAGAATATATATGTTTTTTTCTTGCAGGGTATTTAATTGCATGTCATATAATGCACTACCTTTTCCTCTTTATTTTTTCATAGCCAAATACTATGAGTGCTTGGATTTCTTTGATATTGTTGAAAAGACCTCTTTCATCTCTTTGGCTTTGTCTAATGGGAGATAACTCAGAATTTTGTAATTTTTGATTATTTCCAATACATGTATCACATTACAAATTTTTTGGATATTTTATTCATATTTTTCCCTATATCGCTTGATTTTACTATATCCACAGTATTCAGTTTTTATTTTATTTCCCATGATATATATCCCAATTAAACAATATTAGATCCAGAATTTTATGATGATTATTTCCCATATCGCATTCAAAATTGTTATCCTAATGTTATGAGTTTTTTTGGAAATATTTTACTTTTATTATTCACTTTATCACTAGATATCTTCATATTAGATCCAGAATTTTATAATGAGTATTTTCAAAATCACATTTAAACATTTAAAGCCAGAGAAACATGTTGGTTGCACTTATTTCTTCTACTTGCATTCCAGATTGAATTTTTGTAACTTTTTAATTAACTAAATCCCATCTTATAAAAAGTGAATTCCCTTGAGAGAACACAGTATTTTTATGCACAAAAATCTTAATAGATTTCAAAGAAAAACACTGCAAGGTATACTCCAAAATTATTTTGGCTTTTACATGTACATCATCATGTGAAAGCCACACAAAACATTTTGAATGAATTATTTCCTCCTAGATACATTTATGACAATCCAGTCAAAGTCACATTTTAAGAAGCAAAATTAAATGGCATCTAGAAGTGAATTCAAATAAAATTAATCCCAATTCTTTATGCACATTGATTCGAATAGATTTCTAACACTGCGAATAAAAGAGGGACGAAAGATACCAGAGGGACAGTCAAACTCATAGATCGAAAACAAACTGACAACGCCATGGCCAAAAATAAAAAGACAAACAGACAAATAATAGTACAGATGACACAACATAGAAAACCAAAGACTAAGCAACACGAACCCCACCAAAAACTGGGGGTGATCTCAGGTGCTCCGGAAGGGTAAGCAGATCCTGCTCCACATGTGGCACCCGTCGTGTTGCTTATGTTATTACAAATCCGGTAAATAGTCTAATTCGGTAAGTCACATTTCAAACACTGCGAATAATAATCCAAAATGAAAAATTTGAAGGGATATATATTAAGAACTGCATATCCATCTAAAAACTGAAACTGAAAACACCTGAATAGCTATTTCTTGTTTCACTGACAACTGGACAATACTATGTATAAGGATTAATAATTTAAAGATTCATTTATTATGTAAAAACAGTTTTAATTTTCATACATATTAACATGCTGTTAAGAAAATCTTTCGACTGATTTAGATTTTTGGGTCAAAATTAGATTAATCATCTATATATGGGTTTTAAAACAATGAAAACCAATGATATTTTCTTCCCTATCAATTTTATAATAGAATATTCCTAGGTGAAGAAAAACATCAGGAAAAAGCTTGCTGTAAGGTTGGGTTATGTGAATAAAAAACAGTACAGATAGCCTCAAGGTAGACTCAACTCTAACAATACCAACTGGTCAATTTAAATGTCCCAATTGTATTGTCAATTTTACAATCTGGTTGAACAATAGGTAAAGGTAAACAGCAACACCTATAGTCAAGTCACAGTAATTTTCCAGTTGATTGCTATGAGCAGTAACTCATACTGACCATTACAGCATGAGCTGACATGGTCTAAAATTTGATATTCATGATTTATTGATTAAACTTTGACCTATCTTCTTTTTTCTAGACAATTCTATTCAAAGAATATAGAGATTTAGAGTACCTGATTACTGTTGGGAAGATCTCGCTACCATACAGATATGTAACTGAATAGGAGCCAGTAATACCAAACTTTCCTATCATGGCTAATGTAATAATTAGTGGCTTTAGATCAGTACCATCATCTGAAAATAGTCAGAAATGCATACAATACAATGAAAAAAACTGCACCAATGTTTTCCTTTAGGTAAAAGGTAATGATAAAACTATAAGATTTAACCTGGTAGTTATAAAACATAATTCTTATTACTATATATATATATATATATACACACACATATTTTTAGTTTAATCCACAATATCTAATTACAACGCAAGGGTTGAATATTTGTGTGTGTTAAGGGCATACAATACAGTTTGATCCCACAGTGACTTTTTAAAGAAAATTTGCATACAAACATTTTTTCACTTCGTCAATGCAAATTTGCAATTAATAATATACCATAATGAGCTACTTTTAGAGATAAATATGATCGGAATTTTAGGCATTTACTCCAAATTTTGATAAATACAAGCATATTTTTGTTAACACATTTGGAATATCTTCTTTACATAAGTATGCTACAATTTGGGTAACAATTCTTTGGAAATAAGTTAGTTTTATCAAATTTACAAGTTTTAAATAAACCGGCAAATTTTGCTGAATATCTATTTAATTTAAAAACATTCATCTGAAATTAGTTCATAAAAATTGGTACAAATGATTTTCATACATAAACCAGTACAATGCCATTTAAAAAAAAAAGAGGGTTCCATTTACTTTTTTTCAAACTAATGATCAAAATCAATCGAAAATTGCATCTTTTTCCAATATGTGGCAGTTTGACGTCGCAAAAAAATAACATTTTACGTTATCAACGTCATTACCTCCCCTGTGACTGTATTGAATGCCCTTTAATATATTTCGATTAGTTTTCATTCAGTATTTCTGGTTCACTGAGTTTAATACACAATGATATAGCGGGTAACCTAATCTGTAATAATCTTCTTTTTTTTAATAATCAAACATTTATAATTTCTATACATAAATTGACTTCAACTTGACTATTAATAGTAAACATTACAGTCATCTTAGTTTTCTATCTTAAAATGTGAATAAATAAAATGACATTTTATTACATTTTTACTGTGGTCTTCCAATTTCTACATACCTGTTGTTTCTGGAACAAATATTGTAACTATGCTCATAATACCACACAAGAACATGAAAAATATAAGTGGTTTTCGTCTGCCCAATCTGTAATTAAACAAAAGATAAAAATGATAAAGCTAACAAAGATTTTTTCAATAAAGGGAGTTAATCCACAAACGATTATCATTATTCAATGTTTCATTGAAAGTATTAACGTTCAAAAGGTTTCCACATAAAATTATCATTTTCATTCTCATTATAATTTAATTAAAACAAGTTAAAAAATTCCACCATCTAAATATTTTTTTCCAAAACAGTTTTGGTTTTAAATACAAGTTTGAAAGGCTGAAAAATATAAAAACATCAGGACCTAAAAAGAACAGCTGAAAACTTTTAGTTCAAATTGGCAAACTTACAAATTAATGGCTATGACACAAATTATTTGTGCTGGTATCTCTACAGCACCACTTATTCCAAGGTTGAGAAACTGGTTCCCATGTAAAGTAGGTGTGGCAAATAATATACCAAAATAGCAGATACTATTAGCAAACCTGTAATATATTAGTGGTCATCAAGAAGGTGCAGCAAATAATAAACCAAATTAACTTATACTATTGGCAAACCTGATTTAAGTGTGGCAAATAATAAACCAAGTTCAACATCCTGTCATTTTTGGATTCAAAGAAAATCCAAATCCTGATCATATGTATACTTTTAATATATTCATAAACATTTCAGCAATTTATAAAAGTTCTTGAAAACTGTAGGAGAAGCTAGCTGAATAAACTATGTACCCATGAACACAATTTTCAACCCCTAAAAATTTATAATGCTTAAGTTGCATCATGTTTCAAATATAATCATCAGTGAATAACATAGTGTCTACCTATGAAAAAAATTTATTGAAAATGAACCATTTCTATGATCTACCATCAATGCGGACTTCTAAGCCAATGCTAACGATAATTCTTTATTTTGACTGCCATGAACTGAAGTCTATAAAAAAAGTTTTCCAATCCAAAGTAAAAAAAAATAACAGTGTATTCTCTTATTGAATCTAAGAGTTAGTCCATTTTGTATTTCACTGTCATGTATTTTAACGTTAAGTATAACCAGTCTGAAAATGCATCGTCTATTTTCCTCAAATGTCAACAAAGTACATTCGAATCTTGTGAATTTATATTATTTGTTGATACTTCCGTTAAACTGTCCTTAAAACAAAACTCATAACTATATACATACTCACCACAAATAAAACGTAATAATTGTATATCTTCTAATGACAGGAGTTCTAAACAGATCTAGGAATGTATAAGCTTGTTTATGATCAGATTCTACTAGGACCTCACTCCTATGGGCCACTTTTTCTGATGAGTCTTCACTTTCTTTCTCAGCTTCCTGGAACAGATGATTAGGGAAAGGGATACCGTTGATTTTACTTGCCCATTTGGTCACTTTCTTTGCTTCATTGTATCTTTTCTTGGCAATAAGCCATGGAAGAGATTCTGGAATAAACCTGTTCAAATAGAAATGTCTCTACTTATGCAACAATATGATGGCTATTTATGATTTTTTTCAAAGACTTATCATTTATTCCTTAAAATAATAAGCATTAACAGATACAGCACTTTTAACTTTTCAGAATGAAATAATCTACATATTAACAAAATTAACCAAAGACAAACAGTTTTTAGTCCAATACAACATTTAAAATGAAACAACAAGGCTAAAAAATCTCCTATCTACAACTTTTTGAGTCCTCCAATGATGTTGCAAAATACGGCAGGAACACCAGACAAAACATTTACGCTCATTGTTGAGGTTGGGTGCGTTTTATTGCAACATTCATAAAAGCACAACTGATTTATATAAATTGTAGGATTAATGCCTCAATGATGAACACTTCTAACATGGAAAAGAAATTCAGCTTGGTAGGCATGAACAATCTCAATGTATAAGCAGCTTATAATGACACAAATTAGTCTATGATATATGGCAATAATAACCTCATATTGTACTGTATATACCACCAAAATTTGGTTTAATAGATTTAAATGACTATACTTGAAATCTGGGCCATGAGTTTTTTAAAGGGGAAAACAGTTGTCTTTAGAAATAACATGTTATGAAGTCTAATTATAAACTAAATCATACCAATAAAAAAATAAAGTTAACAGATTAGGTATGGTAATGACTAGCTGTAATGTCTGCCAATCTCTCAAAAAATATCCAAATGTTGCCAACAACATAATTCCTATGCTCCAGGAACAATTAACAGCAACTGATGGATATGAACGGAAATTAGAAGGGAAAAATTCTGTCACCATTACATATGTCGCTAATGCTATAGGCTGAAAAAAAGAACATTTTGTTACTGTAAATTACAATTTGATTGTGGGGCAATTATTGACAGTATAATTATATTTCTATGTCAGATTTAATTTCTAAATTGTTGATTTAATCATGCAGTTAAGTTATTTAATACACAGATAATAATAATTTGCATCTAGCTCAAAATGATGCTAAAGGCCGTATTGAACTTGCAATGTGGTGAGAGTTGTTGTCCTATGTTTTAGGACTCACTGTGACTTTGGATGAAGAACAGCAATAAAAGCGTTATTATTTCTTTGCTTTCGGTTTATTCGTGTACAAGGAAAGACTTTGTGTCATGAATTGATATACCATAATCTTCCTTTTCTATTCTATTTAAAATGATATCAGGGTTATTTCAAAATAAATAAAAGAACAGAATTCTATTGTCTCCCGCGTTGCACATATTTTATCTATCGAAGGCACAAGGCTTATAACTAAAAAAAGCACTTTTTTTGTTCTTTAAAACTTTTTATTAATATCTTAAAAGAAATGAAGGCTTCAGAGCAAATGCAATGTGATTTCCATTATAATTTATATTTCCAAGGGGCATAACTCGTTCAAAATATTTAATTAGAACTTATTTTCGAAAGTGTCGAAGACATTGCTGATATAAACCTATGATATAAATTTCATAAAATTCTGCCAAGAATTGAACACATGAGAGCAATAACATTGCAATTTTCCATATAATCAATATTTTCAAGGGGCATAACTCTTTTGAAAATAATTGATCGACACTGATTTTTGAACTCTTCAAGTACATTGATGATATAAACCTATAATATAAATTTCATAAAAGTCTGGCAAGAATTGAACACATTAGAGCGTTCATAAGGCAATTTTCCATATAATTAATATGTCCAAGGGGCATAACTTTTTTAAAAATTATTGATTGGGACTAACATTGCCAATATAAATCTATGATTTAAGTTTAATAAAATTCTGGTAAGAATTGTACAAATGAGAGAGCTAACAATGCAATTCTCCATATAATTTATTGTTTATAATTAAAATAACTCTTTTAAACATAAGTGTTCGGCACTGATTTTTTAAACTCGTTAAAGACATTGCTGGTATAAACCTATGCTATAAGTTTTATAAAACTTAGGCATGATTTGTACAAATGAGAGCGCTAACGATGCAATTTTCCATTAAAGTAATGTGTCCAAGGAGCGCTAACAAGACTAGACGGACGGACGAACAAACGAAGGGAGGGACGGACGGACGCCCGGTATTTCCATGTCCCCCGCAACGCGTTACGAGGGGACTAAAAAATTTGGAAAGGTACTCTTGTTTTAAATAAATGTGTACAAAATTTCTGAATGACTAAATCTATGTCATATCCTCCTTAACACGTGCTTAAGTTTGATTTTCAAAAACAAATCACAAGTCATCCAGTTTAATAAAATTGCCTTCTGATTCCAAAATTAAAAAGGTTTCTGTAAAAGCCTTATTTACTTAGCATTATAAAGCATATGAATATGCAGAGAAGCATATATTAAATCTTATTTAAAGGTAGATACTTTTAAGTTTTGTCTTTGTTTAAATGCATAGTTGTTTTGTTGGTAATCATAATAATCAAAATAGTGAAATTTGAAGAACTGACCCAGTTTTATTTCTGATGTGTATTTTCTTTTAAAATTCGAAAAATCTACAACAGTAATGAGTATTTGAGCATGGTCATTGTCATGGCCAAAGTTTAACTTCCTTACCTATTCCCTTCAAAATATTATTCAAAATACCCAGAATTCATCGAGTAAATAAAGGCAGGTTTATCAAAAGTACTGTGGGTTCATTATTTGTTCGATACCAATTTTTGTGGATTTCGTAGGTATAGGTAAACCACAAATTTAAATATTCAACGAAGTACAAATCATCTATACGCTTGTATGCAGACTTCCGCAAAACCACAAAATCAATTTTCAATAAAATAACAATTTTTCATTAATCCACAAAAATTGGTTTCATGAAAATAAATTAATCCGCAGTCATAATATCAACACCTTATTCTTACCATGTTTAACATTCCAACAAAGAATCGAAGGACCGTAAACAAAATATACGTATTAGCAAAAGCTGCACAGAAACCAATGACAGCTTGTATCAACAGAAGTGTCAAAATTGTTTTCTTTCTTCCAAATCTGTCTGATAGTGGAGTCAGGAAGGTAGCCCCAATAGTATTCCCTACCATGTAAATTGTTGTGGACAACTCGTTTAAATAATCTCTATCACATACAAGATTCCACTGTAAAAAAAAAAAACAAATAGTTTATATCCATTTCAATTTTTTTTAATGTTTGTTGAAGATAGAAAGAAAAATTTATTCCTGAAAATATACTGGTAAAATTTCAACCTTTAAACTTTTAACTTTTTTAACTAATTTAACTGAATGTTCTAAGAAGTTCATCTATAGAAATCACTAGGCTGTCAACACTGAGGTTGTGAGTTCGAACCCAGTTCAAGACAGGTGCATTCGATTTTAATTGACGAAAAATGCAAGTTTACTTGCCGCAGGTCGGTGGTTATCTATGGGTACTCCAGCTTCCTCCACCAATAAAAAACTGGCAATTATAGCCAAGAGTGCTGAAAGTGGCAATAAACTCCAATAATCAATCAAATCATTGAAGAAAAACTGACGGATTGCTGCCTGCATAAATATTCACGCACCAGTAACATACATTGAAAAGATTAACATAAATAATTTAAAGATTTTCAAAATAACAGTATTACTAGTAGCATGTTAAAACTCACCTCTGTCACTATGGTTTCTTCAAACTCATCACCATACTTCCAACCATTTGGACAAGATTCAGTTGTATTCTGTCCATCAGTACTGATAGTGACATCACAAGTTCCATATATAACAGTTTTATTTTTATCAGCAACCTCTTTGCAAGAATAATCTGGTACCCCTCCCAGAAATATACTTCCCAGGACAGGCCATGCTCCTCTCATGTAGATAAAGGACAGACAAAGAAACACTAAGATCTGGAAACGACCATAATTTCCAAGGCTCTGAAGGACTCTGTCAGCATCCATTGTTAACGTGATCTAAATCCTAAAATGGAGAGGCCAAAAAGTAAATACTACTTTCAACCTGAGCGAAGAGAAACTGAAGATAATGAATCAAAAGTTTTATAATTCTGTACCCAGTAAATGAATAATTGAGAAACTTAGACATTTGGGAATTTACTTATCAAACCATTTAATTTAGTGTACAAAACAAGAGTGCACACGCTGAAATGTCTCGCCTGCTTTACTGACAATTGATTTGATGTTCAGTCTTAAAGATAAAGATTTTCCTTCAATTATAGCATAATCTTAACGTTTTTAAAGATCCATGACAATGAGGTCAAGGTCAGATAAATCCTGTTTGACAGACATGAACACCTTACAATTATTCCATATACTAAATCACAGGCACTTGTCTATGAAAAACAATGTCATTGAAAAATATGACCATGTTTACACCACAAAATCCACTCTGAGTATAGACACACCGATGCATCTGGGAAAGTTTTAAGGCATGGCTGGACCCATCTTCGCCAACCAAGGCTTACGATCCAGTCCCCTCCTATCCACCCTTGGCAGATTCAGCCAACATTTGTGATTACAATGCTGCACCATCTGCCGGTAGATAAAAGTCATGCCCATTCCGACTAAATTATTCTTGACCAATGGCAGCGCTTGAACTTGAAAATTTACGTTGACATTCAAACATTTGCGCGAGAAACATACCCAGGAACTTCAGTTAGTTGATTCAGAATTTTAAATTGTCACTAAATATTGGTCTATGTTTTGTGGATAAAGACTTGTTGAACAATTAGCAATTGGCAATTATCTATTTACATTTTCTGCATTTACACGTGATCATCTTAAAGGCGCTTTTTGATTCGAAAGTTCGCGACCGATTGTCATTTTTCAAAAATGCGAGTTAAGTACCTTGTGTTATATTAAGATAAATAGGAAATTTTTTTCAGAGTCAAGTGCCTGTGTACCAAATATAGTTGACCTAATGCTTATGATAATTGAAAAACAGACCAAAACACAAAAACTTAACATTGACCAATGAACCATGAAATCAGGCCATGGTCAGATGATACCGACAAGACCAATATGTACACCTTACAATCATTCCATACACTAACTATAGTTGACCTATTGCTTATAGTACATATTTAACCAAACAAACTTATTGATATGCAACATCCTTCAACAACTGCAAGTCATTCAGCTTCCACTCATTCACCTCAACGGTTGTCTACCAACCAAACTCAGTCAGCAACTACAAACCAACATGCAATCATCATCAAGGAACCACAATCAAAAAGTCTGTCAGAACAACTGTCTGTACCTACACCATCTTTTGTCACAACTAGCCAGCCAGTAGGGTCTACAAAGCCATTTGTTCACGTCAGCCAGTTAAACACCAGTCCTCTAGACCAGCAGCAAACCACCACTCACCAAGCTGTATTGTCAGCAAATCCCTTTGCTATTACCAGCCAACTCAGTCAACCATCAAATCCCTTTGTAACCTACAGTCCCTCGTCAACCATTCATCCATCTGTATCCACATTTAATCCATTTTCTACCCCCAGCCAGCCTAAACATGCATCAAATCCCTCTTCTCCATACAACCAGTCAACATCTAGTCCTGTTACAACTACAATCCCATTTGAAACAAAAGGTGAGCAAGACAGTTCTATTCAACAGTCATTTCCATCTAACTTCCAGACAATCCAGTCAGCAAGTAATCCATCCTTATTTCAACCAACATTTAATTACCCTGAACCTTCAACACCCATATCACTAATACCTTTTGACACACCAGAGAGGAGTACTCCGTTACATCGTAGGCCAATTCCTGACAGAAAGATTGATGGCATCTTCAAACGTCTGTTAGCTGTAGAAAAAACCAAACAGAAATTAGAAACAACCAGCAAGTAATAATGACCAATACAACTCCTTCAGGGTAACTCAACTTCTCACCTACAGACTTCAATCAACCAATCCCGGCCAGTGTCAACGAATCCAGAAACCTACCCATTTTATGATGTGCCAGAAAGTTATCGTATCACCATGAATGATCTCAACTTTATGTCGAAACACAGAAACTGTCCAGGCCTACAAAACTGCTAGATCGCCTCTTCCCAAAACTGATCACTGCTGAGCAATTCAGACTACAATATTCCTATCAAGGTGGGAGAAAGTGCAACAAATCCGAACCACATTGCAGGAAGACAGTTATGCAACGGTATATTATAAAAACATTTCCTTACTTGTCTGTCCCAAGATTATGGAAAGACGCTATTATCCCTAGAGTGAATGAATACTTAAGAAGACCTGCAAAACAGATATAGATAGCTTATATTAACCAAAATTTTACTTCTTTTTATGAACATTTTCAACTATCAGACTATATATATATATTTATCTTACCTCCTATAGATTTCAGGGGATATGATTGGTTAAAGGACTACACGTGGTGACTACATATATTTGATATAGGGTGTCCTAAAAAATATGAGGTTAGTTACCATATGGGGTTAGTAAGGAGTTATTTCACTTTCGAAAGAAAATAGAAATCTGAAAGGTTTCAACAGACGAAGAAATTGATAACGAACGATTGAAATAAATTCATAAAACAAATTTAAAGCTAACAAGTTGTTATTATTGGCATTTTTTTTGTATAGACAAATGGAAGTAGGTTCTTAATACTAAGTATTGAAGACTTAATCACTTTGATAGACCGCTAGTCTAAATACCACATGTGAAGATAGTCGGTAAGATAAATTCGTTACACGGTGTGCTAGTGACCTAAAACGATATATATGGGGTCAGTAAATTCCATATGGAAATTCGAGCTTCGCTCTCACCCCATATGGAATTTACTGACCCCATATATATCGTATTAGGTCACTAACACACGGTGTAACTAATAATATATACATACATATCTCCCCATGTATAATATATATTCAGGATTGTTATACAATGTATGTATATATGACTTCTTTATCTATTTGTGTTTTTGTACTTCTTAGTATGAACAATTTGCATGATCTGTATTTATGAATGTATGATGGTCCAGTCATTAGTTAAAAATCTTCTTTTATTTTTGAAGATACAGTATATGAATAAATGATTTATTAACCTGAATTGACATAATATAATATACAAAAGTTATGCTCATTTATATTTTCAGCCAGCCATATAGACTTAAGAAGCATTGTGTATATAGGCTTGCTTATGAAGAAATGAAAATGGTAAAATTTAACATTTAACATGTTTAAGGGCAATAACTCCTATAAGAAGTCGTCTGACTTTAAAGTTTAAAGTTTAAAGTAAATGGAAAACTGACAATCCTAGTCAGTTAAGATTGGAGTCGGGTGCATCTGCCCCGTGCGGGATTCGAACTCACAACCTCAGTGTTGACAGGCTAGTGATACAGTAGTTCGATTACTTAGAACACGGCCACCGATGCCCCCAAAATATAGACAGAAATTACAATTGTTTATTACATAAGAAATTTCAAATACCATGACTGTCGCGAGCCGGCATAGATTAGGGCAATTAATTACCCGGTGTGACACCGTGTTACACTGTGTTGGGATAGATGTCGCTATCATAATAAACAAAAAGTAGCGAATTTACGCGATAATCGGAGGAAACCCTCCAAATTTCCACCACGAATTTAGGGAGGGATATCGGAGTTTCCTGGTGTGACTCCATGAATAATTGCGGTGTTTGGATTTTGGACACCTGTTCGTTTTAATTGTACTGTAATTAAAAAAAAACAGACCAAAACACAACAATTAACATTTGACTAACGCACCATGAATATGGGGTCAATGTCAGATGAAACCTGCCAGACTGATATGTAACCCTTACAATCATTCCATACACCACATATAATTGACTTACTGCTTACAGTATCTGACAAATGGACCTAATCACGTAACTTTAACCTTGATCACTAATCCATAAAATGAGATAAAGGTCTGGTGGACACTGTCTGACGGACATGTAGACGTTGCAAGGAACCCATATACCAAATATACCGTCGATTCATTTATTTTCGTGGGTACCAATGTTCGTGAATTAAGGAAAACTTGCATTTTTGTAGATATTTGATTTCGTGGTTTTCTAAAAGTCTGCATATAACCATACACCAAATTTGCAATTCGTTGAACATTTAAATTCGTGGTTTCCCTGTCCCCACGAAATCCCCGAAAATTGGTATTCAACGATAAATAATAAATCCACAGTAGCTAGTTATCCTATTACTCATAATAAGTGAGAAGTTCACATTGCAAAAAAAAATGTTTTTTGTTACATGTACATAAAAAAATTAAGAATGAAGTACACATGCTTAACTTTAGTTATAGAAAATATAAGCCATATATTTTCCAAAATATGAATCCCTTCTGATCCAAAAGGTTTATCTTAAGAATATTTTCAGACTATGCATTGTTTGCAGGCTAAGCTCTAAAATGTAACACTGGAATATTTGTCATTGTTGTATATTTATCGAGATTTTAAAGAATATGTGCTGCCCAGAGTTCTCCCAAAGGCCTTGCAAGCACCATGGGACCATGGTTCTATTTGAATAGATTTTATAACAGAATTTATTATAAATATGGTGCTTATGATTTTAGGAAAACTGTTATTTCAAACCCATAGTGCTATTTTAAAATACTGGGAAGAATACTGATGTAACATAAAATTGACGTCTTATCTTTTTACTTCAAATTGTACAAAGCAATATTTTATCTTTTTGATTTACATAGAAACTATACATGTATAGACCGTACTTTGACCTATAATGGTTAACTTTTATAAATTTTGACTTGGATGGAGAGTTGTCTCATTGGCACTCATACCACATCTTCTTATATCTATATAATTAATGCAAGTTCCTATTCAAATAGTTATTAATAATGTGCGTTGATCAGCTTCCTTTCATGTTGCGAAAGCGAGACATAGTGATCCTAGATTCTGACGTCTGCAGTAGTGTCTGCGTCTTCTTTTAGGTTCAGTCTATAATTAATTTTTTTTTTAACATCTATAACTTTGCCAAGAATTTTATAAAATTTGGACACGGAGACTTTTTTAAGACCAAAAGACAGTATCCAGCGTAAAATTTTGAAAATATTCATTTTCATTTTTTTCCGAATTTTCTGATAAATGTTCTCACTTTTATTCACTACAAACCAGTAAAAGTCTGAAATGGCCTATATCTGTACTCGACCGTACTGATTTTTACTCGACCAGTCTAAATTGATCTGAAATTTATAAAAAAAATTGATACTACTCGACTGTAGTCTGAACCATACTTAGCAGTCTGAACTTTACTCGACCAGTACTTAACCATTTTATACGTGTCTGAACCATACTCGACGTAGTCTTAACCATTCTCGACCAAATCTGAACCATGCTCGACCGAGTCTAAACCATACTCGACCGGTCTGAACCATACTCGACCAAGTCTTAACCAACCTAGACCTATTTCTGTATCTATCTATGGTATTTCATCAATTTAGGAACTATTTTTAACAACAGCTTTTTCCCTTGGATAGAAATTTGAACAACAATTTTAAATCCAAAATGTATTTAATATACCATTGGAACCAAAATTTCACAATACACATAATATAATCATCAACACAATATTCATCATCATTTATACATCTATACATATAAACAATGTATAATACCTTTAAAATTAAAATAAAACAAGATGATCAAAGAAAGTGATTTCTGGTCGGATTAAAAAAAATATCAAGTAATAAATTAAGTTTTTGGTTAAATGAATTTTATATGAATGATTTCATGTTCACATTGCATTATGTACATCAAAAATACTAGAACTTTCTACCATTATTCAAATATCTTAAATGGTAATCAAAATTTTTTGAGTGTTTCAGATATATTTTATGGTTACTGGAAAAATTTTAACACTAACTTAAGACTGTTATAAATTTATGGTGTCAGTCGAGTTTAGTTAATAACTCAATGAACATTTTTTTTATTGTATATAAAGCAACTTAAAATAAATTTCCAAGAATTTAATATTATAGAACTTCCATAGCAATCATTGATAACCTTTTTAATTTAAAAATGGAATTGTGTTTCGAAGTTGCAGTAAAAATTTAGGTTGATTAATTAAGTTTTGTCAAAATTAAAGACATGGCATACAAGAAGCACTTTAATAAGGTTTAATTACCTCAGTACAGGTGTGTTTTACAGGTAAAAAGAAACCATATTTTTCTTTAAACTCGTGTATTATTTATCCAGTGAATTCAAAAGGCCTTGTGATTTAAGTTTTACAGGATCTTGTTTAATTTTCAATGGATGTTATTTAAAATTTATTACTCTCTGGCCAGATGTGATCTATTTAATGAGTGTGTCCCAAGCACGAGGTATTACTTTATAGTTTACCACTAATCAGAAGAACAATTTTAATCATTTCTTTAATTTTTTATCCTTTTTAGATATATATCCTTATTATGATACGAATAGATATATTTCTGATATAAGGTTAAACAATTTCGGTGATTTTGTTGGCTGTTGTTACCTCAGTTAAAAATATAGTTATATAACTATTGTATGTAACTATGAAACCTATGTAGTTTTTATTCAAGAGTTTAGGTGAATTAAATTTTGTTAAAAAAACACATGTCAAAGAAGAAGCACCTTAATAAGGTTTTATTACCCTCAGTACAGATGTGTTTTTCAGGTAAAAGACTCAGACTTTGAAATAAGATAATTTGACTATCTCGATTTGAAAAATCTAATAATCATGTAGGGATGTAACAATCTGTTTTTATATATATCTTTACTTTATTGTGGCTGTTTTCAGTTAAAAAGAAAGTTATTTAGACAGTTAAAATTTTAAAAAAA